TTGTCACCGAGGCTGTAGTGTAGCACGCTCACTATAACCCCCAGCTCTAATCCTCCTGCCTCAGCCTCCCGGGTAGCTAGGACTATAGGTGCACACCACCATGCTTGGCTGACTTTTAATTTTTTTTGTAAAGACAGCATTTTGCTGTGTTGCCCAGACTGGTCTCAAACATCCAGCCTTACGTGATCCTCTTACCTTGGCCTTCCAAGTCTCCATGCTGGGATTATAGGCATGAACTGCTGCACCTGACCAGCATTATATTTTTTGATTCATCCATGTTGAATATAGCTGGACTTCATTTTTGCTGCTGTTAGTATTCCATTCAGTAAATAAGCAACGTATCCATTTTGCTGATGGAAATTTAAAGTTTCCAGTTTTCTCAGGTTTTTGTTGTTGTTCAATTACAAGTAATGGTGCTAATGCATTTCTTGTACCTGTCAGCTCACACACAGTAAGAATTTTTCCACATACCTAGCAGTGGGATACCAAGTCATATGTTACGTATGTGTTCACCTTTCTTAGGTAATGCAAAAATGGTTTCCAGTGTGGCTATACCAATTTACATTCCTGCTAGCGGAGGATGAGCATTTCCGTTGCTCCACATCCTCACCAACACTTGATATTATCAAGTTTTTCAACTATAGTCATCATATATTAGTATATCAGTACAGTTTTTGTAGCAGTTTCCTGGTTACCAGAGAGATTGAATATCTTTTCATCCGTGTGTTGACAACTGGAATTTCTTGTATGAAGTGCTTATTCAAGTATTTTATCCAATTTTCTATTGAGTTATTGGTCTTTTTCTTATTGATTCAAAGCCATTCTTTAGAAAATAATCTAAATATTAACCCTTTGTTGTTTATATGTCTAACAAATATCTTTTCCCAGTTTGTGGCTTATGGTTTCATTCTCTTTATAGAATCTTTCAATCAACATTAACTTAAAGATTGTCACATTTCACAATCTTTTCCTTTACTATTTTTACATTTCATGTCTTGGGAATTTCTTTCTATGAAATAACACAAAAATACTCTCTCCTTTAGAGTTGTCTTAGTCCACTGGTGCTGCTATAACAAAACACCTTAGGTTGGGTAGTTTATAAACAATAGGTAGTTATTTCTGACATTTCTAGAGGCTGGAAAGTCCAAGATCAAGGCACAGGCAGGTTCAGTGTCTGGTGAGGGCTGCTCCTTCTGCTTCTACGGTGGTGTCTTCTTGCTGCATCCTGACTTGGCAGAAGAGGCAAAGGAATGGAAAGGACAGACTTGTCCTCTCAGCCCTCTTATGGTTGCACTAATCCCATCTGTGAGGGTGGAGTGTGCATGGCCTAATCACCTCCTAGTGGCCCTACTTTTTAATATTATTGAACTGGGAATTAAGTTCCCACATGAATTTTGGAGGGACACAAACATTCAAACCATAGCAAAAGTTTTCTCTATTTTTGTTTTTTACATTTAGGTCTCAAATCCAACTGGATTTGTTTTTGTATTTGGTATAACACAGGGAGTCCAGTTTCATCTCTTCCACAGAGAAAAGCAATTGGTCCCAGAACATTTATTAAAAAGTGATTTTTCTCCACATTGATGTGAAATATCACCTTTGATATTTAGCAGATGTGCATATATACATGTCTGGGCTCTTTGTGCTCTTTATTTGATTTATTCTTTAGATACTATGTATTTTTGAGATTATTATAAATTCGATGTTTTAAATATCATTTTCTTACTATTTGTTACTTTGGATAGAAAGGCAATTAATTTTTATGTATTGATTTATATACAGCCAACTTGCTATATCTTCTAACTTTAATGATTTATATGTTGATTATTTGGGGTTTTCTATGTAGTCAATTATATTATTTTCCAATAAGAGAAAAGCAATTTTATTTCTTCATTTTATATTTCTTTTTTTTTTTTTTTGCCTTACTCTACTGGGAGGTCTTCTAATATAGAATTAAATAAGGGTGTTCTTGTTTCTGATCTTAAAAAGAACACTTTCAATATTTCTTCATTAATATTTCTACATTTATTGAGATGCTTGTGTAGTTTTTCATTTATCTATTACTGTAGTAAATTATATTAATTAGTTACTAATATGAAGCCACGCTTGCATTTCTAGGATGAAACTATCTTAGTCATAGTGGGTGATTAGTTTTATACATTTCTGAATTTTGTTTGATAACATTTTGTTAAGAGTTTGTATTTTTGTTTGTGAATGAGATTGGCCTGTAATTTTCCTTTCGTACTGTCATTTTGAGGTTTTAATATCAAAATTATGTAAGCCTCATTGACAAAGAAAAGTTGGGGGTCAAGGTAGTCCATCTTTTTTCATATAGTGAAATAGTTTTTGTAAGGAAGAATATAGGAATATTCAGTTTTTTATTTCTTTGTGTTTCAATTTCTGTAAGTTAAAATTCTGTAGAAAATATTTTCTATTCCTTCTAAATGCATAATTTTTAATGATATTTTATCTTTTAAATTAATAGAGAATCTAAATTATGACCCCATATTCATTACTATTTTTATTTGTACACTTTTTTTCTCTGAAAAACCTTACTATAAAGTTGTTAGAGTTTCCAATCAGTTGGAAGAAACTTTGTTTAGCTTTTTTGATCTGCACTCTTATGTGTTTATATTCTGTTTCATTATTTCTGGTCTTATTTTTATGATTTTTCTTTCTTCTAGTTCTTTGGATTTATTTTACTGATCTTTTTCTGATTCCTTAAATTATGATTAAATTTCAATCTTTCTTTTTTTAAACATTGTTAAAATTTCACTCTAAATAATGCTTATGCATGTCCACACGTTTTTATGTGTAACATTTTTATTATTTAATTCCAAATATTTTGTAATTTAACATTTGAATTTCCTCTTGTCTCATGAATTATTCGTGGGTTTCTTAATTTACAAAGATATAGGGATTTTCTGGTTATCATTTTGTTACTGGCTTCCAACACAATTACACTGTAATCGGACAGTTTTTTATGTATGATATCAATTTGTCAAAACCTTTGAGACTTGGTTTTTGGTCCAGTATTTTGTCAGTTTTTATAAATGCACCATAGTTGGCCAAAAACAATTAACACTGGTGTTTCAAGCTGCTAGGCATAGTGGTCCATATATGTCTATTATTATCAAGCTCACTGATTGTGTCAGTTAAATCTTCTGTATCATTATTTTTAGTACTTGATCTGTCAGTTACTGTTGTGTTAAAAATCTTTCGCTATTATTGTAAACATTACATTTTTGTAAATATTGTTATATATTTTCAGTCTGTGTTATTAGATACAAATTAAACTTTTTATATGCATTTTAATATGAGAAATATAGTTAATTACAGGACTCAAATTTAGACTATAGGTTATTCTGGTTCAGTGATTCTGATTTTTATATTTTGTAAAACATTTAATAAACCTCGAGGCAAAAAGGATTTTTAAAAATCCCATTTAGCAATTCAGAGTTAAAAATATTATTGATGTCTCTTGACCTTGTTAACCCATTTCTGGGATACTATCCAAAATAACCAGAAGTAGATAAAACACTTTATATACCAAAATATATATTTGTACTGGCAAAAAATTAAATGTAGATTCTAGCAATAAGAGAGTGGTTAAATAACTGGACACAGCTACATGATAGTGTATTATGCATCCATTAGAGTCATTTATAAGGAATTTGTGATAAAACTGGAAAGTTATTATGTCACAATGATACATAAATGAAGCTGACTACAGTTGGCCCCTCTTACCATGGGGGATACATTCTGAGACTCCCCAGTGGATACTTGAAGCTGCAGATAACATACCAACCTCTACATATATGAACTTTTCCTGTACATACATACCTATGGTAAAAGTTTAATTTGTAAATTCAGCACAGTAAGAGATTAACTACAATAATTAATAATAGAACAATTACAATAATATGCCAGCACCATTACTCTTGTGCTTTGGGGCTACTATTAAGCAAAATAAGGGTTCTTTGAACACCAACACTGTGGTACCACCACGGTGGATCTGATAACCAAGCCAGCTACTCAGTAACTCACAGGCAGGTGGCATATACAGCGTGGATATGCTGGACAGAGGGATGACTATGGTGTGAGATTTCATCGTGCTACTAAGAACCATGTGCGATTGATAACTTATGAATGATGTATTTCTGGAATTTTCCATTTAATATTTTTAGACACAAGTTGACTGTGGGTAACTGAAACCACAGAAAGCAGAACTGCAGATAAGAGGGGACTACTGTATACTGTATGATTTCAATTACCTTAATGATAACTATAGAAACAAATTCTAAGAAGAAATGTCTCAAAAGAATTGTAACATTGGTTGGTGTAACATTGGAATTGTAATATTGGAAAAAAAGTTTGTCTTTTCCTCTTTCTATTTTTCTGTGTTTCTGCATTTTCTACCATATTCAAACTTCTTTACTATTGTATGGGGGAAAAGCCTTAAAGACATGGACTAACAAATGCATATTTAATTAATGTTTGAGTGTACATAATTAGTCTTTCATTCTGTATTATGTTGGTTTTGGCTGGTTTGTGTGTGTGTGTGTGTGTGTGTGTGTGTGTGTGTGTGTGTGTGTGTTTTGAGAAAGAGTCTTGCTCTGTTGCCCAGGCTGGAGTGCAGTAGCTTGATCTCAGCTCACTGCAACCTCCACCTCCCAAGTTCAAGGAATTCTCCTGCCTCAGCCACCTGAGTAGCTGGAATTACAGATGCCCGCCATTGTGCCTGGCTAATTTTTGTACTTCAGTAGAGATGGGGGTTTTGACATGTCGGCCAGGCTGGTCTTGAACTCATGACCTCAGGTGATCCACACACCGCAGCCTCCCAAAGTGATGGGATTAAGGCATGAGCCATCATGCCCGGCCTTGGCTGATATTTTTTAAATATCAAGATAGAAAAGTCATTTAAAATGTGTGATATGGATATGTGCAAAGTACAAGTTAACATTTAAACTAAATATCTTGTTTTACTCTGCTGCCCACAGGTAAAGTACTGAGAGAGGAGAACCAGTGCATTTCTCCTGTGGTTTCTAGCCACATGAGTCCAGGGACAAGACCAACAGTTATGGGATCCTTCAGCTCACACGTGACAGAGTTTCCACGGAAACGCAAAGGAAGTGATTCAGACCCATCCCAGTAAGTGAATTTGTTCCTCTAACCTGGTGAGATCTTTGACTCTCTGAGAAGAGGAAAATATTCCTTTTAAAATCATTAATTATTTCCAAGTTCATGGTACCATTTGGGAAGGGGAGATTACTTATCCTCCCAACTGCTACCTTTGCCAGTGACTGACTTGGAACTTTTCCATCCAGCTCTCAAGAAAGGTATCTAGGAGGGTCAGCTGGAGTCAGAAAGAGACATAGGAACATGAGTTTAATTTGGGTAATGTTTATGATCATGGCAAGATACTTGCCTTCCTTATTAAAATACTTATAAACACGAGGAGAACACCTTGCATGCTTGACTTAAATAATAATTACTACTTCTCACCTCACTCATCATGTATAGACTAACCAACCCTTGGTTATCTGTGGTCAGTTTAATAATATGTGACTCTTATTTTCCATATTTATTAAGTCAAATTGATAATAAAGTCAATGTTGAGAATACCCACTATCTCCTTATTTATTTTTGTTACTCCTGCAGCTTCAGTCCTAAATATTCTTTAATGACTTCCCCAAAGCTAGAGTTTATATGGTGAAAACATCAGGGCAAGCCAGGTACAGTGGCACACACCTACAGTACTAGCCATGTGGTAGGCTGAGGCAGAAGGTTTGTTTGAGCCCAGAATGTTTGAGACCAGCCTGGGCAACATAGCAAGAACCCATCTCTAAAGAAATAGATGTAAAATTTAGAAAACATTAAGGAAAAATAATGATAGCCATCTACAGCAATGCATCTTAGGCTGGTACTTTACATAAATGTGCGAGTTGATGACAATTCTCCATCATGAACAAATGGAAAAATCCTGAGTTGGGGGTCAAGATAAGAACATAGTAAAACATCCTAGATCTTTTTAACTCAGTTCTTTCCAATACACTTTATACTTTAGCTTTAGTTCCCAATACAGCAGAGTCAGTGTTATCGAAATATGAATACTGAAGCACTTCCCAAGCCATATATAAATGATTGGAAGGTTTTCTACTGTTTTTGATTGTCTCTATTCTCTTAGTCTCTTCTATTAACATGGATGCTTCTGAAAACTGCAGTTGATGAAGTGACAGTCTATTTAGACTATCTAGCTGTTTCCATCCTAAATTATCAGTCAATAGCCCCATTTATCTTGAGCTAAAAGTGACTGTTAGTTCTTTTTATTTTTTTCCTTATTCTTCAGAATCATAAGCACCACTCTTCTTTCTTGGTATCTAAATATGATTTTAGCAATTGAAGTGGGAACAGTGAATCTAGAGGTAGCCCAGTTTTGTGCCACATGGCGGGCACAGATGAAATCTTGCAGTGGTTTTGGGGGTGAATTGGAAATTGAGGTCAGTGCTAGCAAAAATGTAAGAAACATGCAAAGTACTGACAGTACTGGCATTTTTTTGGCAGCAAAAGACACTGAAGATGATTTAGGTAACTACTCATATTAGAAAAGAAAGAAGCTAGAACTCAGAAATGTCAAGCTTCTTGCCCTGCATCACACAGCTTGTTAGAATGCCTGATTCTGGATGTGGTATTTTCTCCACTTCACCCAGCTTCCTGTCACTGGGTAACTGGACAAAGTAGGCTACTATCTCCATTTGAGGACAGTCTTGCTGTCCATTCCCAGAACATCTGGGTAGGGGGTGACCCAAGGCCTCCTTCCTTCCAGGTCAGGAATCCTGACAGAAAAAGTGGTGGAAAAGCTTTCTCAGAATCCCCTTACCTATCTTCTTTCAACAAGGATAGAAATATCAGCCTCCAGTGGCAGCAGGTAAGTCCTGGACCGTCTTTGACATATTCCCCTACTTGAAGAGGGCATAGAGTAGCAGTGAAAACATACACTGATGTGCCCATCATCTACCCCAGAGCTTCTCCTTTCTGTCCCAGTCCTTCCTTTATCCTACCATTTTCTATTCCCTTTAATGAAATTATGGATATCCAAGTACGTGGTGCTGATTATATGGTGTCTTTCCGCAGGACTCAGTGCAGGAAAGCCAGTCAGTAGGTGAGAATCAATATGTGACGGTCAGTAGACTAGGAGAGACAGAGACACAAAGGTACAAGAAACTTGTGCAAGTGGCAAAGATACAAACAATTACTTTATACCATCATAACTGCTATGATAGAAACCCTGGGTACTATGTCAGCAAATAAAGTTGGGCATTTCAACAAGATTTAAATACTTCTTGGAAAAGTTGACTTAAGCTAAGTTTTAAGTAGAGAATAGAAATGTGTCTACAGCCATGTGTGATGGCTCATGCCTGTAATCCTAGCACTTTGGGAGGCAGAGGTGGGAAGATCGCTTGAGCCAGAAGTTCGAGGCTCCAGTGAGCTATGATCATGAGACTGCATTCCAGACTGGGTGACAGAGTGAGACCCTGTCTCTGTAAAAATACATTTAAAACAGAAGAGAAGAAGTGATTCTACAGAACAGGAGTGGAGAAGATATTTTAGGTAGAAAGAACAACTACGCAGATGTACCGGTATGTAGTTGCATACTTCTGCTCAGGAAATGAGTGGTTGTCACCATAGAGCAGAGGGTGCGCTTAGAGTGGAGTGAGCTATGAGATTGAAGGGATAAACACGAACTAAGTCATGAAAGATCTGCTGAACTGAAGAATCTGAAAACTATCTTGAATGTAGTAGGAAAAGTGAAGAATTCTAAGCAGGAGAAGAACTTGATCAGATTTATATTTTTTAAAGAATTGATTGCCTCTGCACCTTTTCACTTTTATTATGGTGAATACACACGCACACACACACATACACACACACACATAAATAACATGAAATTTGCCATTTGAACCACTATTAATTGTATAATTAATTGGCATTAATTATATTCAGTATTGTAGCATCACCTCTATTTCTGTCCTTTTTTTTTTTTTTTTTTTTTTTTGAGATGGAGTTTAGCTCTTGTTACCCAGGCTGGAGTGCAATGGCGCGATCTTGGCTCACCGCAACCTCTGCCTCCTGGGTTCAAGCAATTCTCCTGCCTCAGCCTCCTGGGTAGCTGGGATTACAGGCACGCGCCACCATGCCCAGCTAATTTTTTGTATTTTTAGTAGAGACGGGGTTTCACCATGTTGACCAGGATGGTCTCGATCTCTCGACCTCGTGATCCACCCACCTCGGCCTCCCAAAGTGCTGGGATTACAGGCTTGAGCCACCGCACCCGGCGCATCACCTCTATTTCTAAAACTTTTGCATCACCCCAAAGAGAAACTCTGTGCCCATAAACAATAGCATTCCTATTCTCCTCTCCCCGCATCCCTTGCTAACCTCTAGTGTATTTTCTGGCTCTATGAATTTGCTTATTCCAGGTATTTCACGTAAGTGGAATTATATGCTGTTTGTTGTTTTGTGTCTGACTTATTTCACTTAGCATTATGTCTTTAAGTTTCATCCATATTATAGCATGTGTCAGAATTTCATTCCTGTTTATGGCTGGATAGTATTCTACTGTGTGTATATATCATCTTTGATTTATCCAGTCCTCTGTTGATGAGTTATTTCCAGTTTTTGGCTGCTGTGAATAATGCTGCTATGAACATTAATGTACAAATACCTGTTTGAGTCCATTCTTTTGGATATATGCCTTTGAGAGAGTTGCTGGGTTATATGATAATTCTGTTTAGTTTTTGAGGAACTGCTATACTGTTTTCCACAGTGGCTGCATCATGTTACGTTCCCATGAGTAGTGTACAAGAATTCTGTTTTCTTCACAGCCTCACTGATACTTATTATTTTCAATTGCTTGATTATAGCCATCCTGGTAGGTGTGACTGGTACAGTCTTACATTTTCAAAGAATCACCCTGGAAACAGCATGGAGAATGGGCTGAAGGAGGAAAACCCCACAGACAGACAGAACAACTGAGAATAGCTTTTGCCAAGGACTGGGTTTTCTCAGCATTGATCAAAGAGAGTGGCCCTAGACAGGAAGGGCAGGGAAAGGAAGGGACATATGACACACTTAGAAGGTAGGATCTCTAGGACTTCATGATTGTTGATTGGGGAGAGGATATAAAGTGTGCCCAAGTTTTCTGTCTTGGGATCCTAGATGGAGGGTGGTATTTTCATTTACCTAGATTGAGGCAAAGATGATGAATTCAGTCCTGGACACACTAAGAATGGGATATTTATGGAACCTTCAAGCAGGAAGTTGGACATGAGGATTTGGAGCTCAGGGGAGAGGCCCTGCCTGGAGTTAGAGATTCAGATATCACTGATGCACAAAAAGTACTTGAACTGATGATGTGGGTGACATCACTGGGAGAACCACATAGAGTGGGGAGACTGGGGTTTGAGGATATACTCTGGGGGTTCTGACTTAAAGACGGTAAAAGACGAGGGGTAGCCTGCGCAGAATACGAGAAGACAGGGATCTGAAGTGGGAGCGGCACACAAAAATCGAAGGAAGCATGTTTCAAAAAGAGGAACATCTGAAAAGTGGCAAATCTGGAGAATATTTTGAGATTGCATCTGCCTCTAGCTTTGTCTTTGGTTGATTTAGAAAGAATGCCTACATTTCATTCAAAATGCAGTGAAAATAGTTTTCAAGAAAACTTTGCATTGTGTTTGGAAATTATGTGACTGTAATGTAAGGTGCTACACTAAGAAGATGTATCCAAGTAATGTGAACATTGTTAATATCAGAAAACTTACCAAAACTCATTTGTAAAAATTTGTAAAATATTAGGATTATAGACCAAATTTACTAATTATCTAGATTCGTGCTACAAACAAATTTTTTGACTAACAAGAAATTGTTTGACTAACAAGATCCTGCCTTTATTCTATTCTGCCAGGGGCCATTAAATAGAAAGGTATTTGCATTTAGTAAGTACAGTATATTTGAATTTCACCGAGGAAGCAAATTCACTCAGTGAGTTCATTTGCTAAAATGCCAATAATCAAAGCAAAAACATGATTTTAAAAGGTAAACTGACTCTATATATGTGTATGTTGCTTCAGTTTCAAAAGGTAAAATTTTAAAGTTTACCTTTTGAAATTGAAGTAATATATATATATATATATATATATATATATATATACACACATATATATAGTCAGTCTTTCATATCCGTAAGCAACCAACCAAAAATTGAAAATATTCAGAAAAAAAAAGTCTGTGTTGGACATATCCAAACTGATTTTTCTTGTTATTATTCTGTAAACAATACAGCATAACAATAGTTTACATAGTATTTACATTTGTTAGGTATTATAAGAAATCTAGAGATGATTTAAAGTATATGGGAGGATGTACACTGGTTATATGCAAATACTATGAAGAGACTTGAACATCCACAGGTTTTGGTATATGCAGGAAGTTCTGGAGCCAGTCCCCACGGATACTGAGGGACAATTATATATAATCCCAGACTGTTAGGAAGAAAATTATTCACCTGTCTAATTGTTTTCTGTTTATTCTTTTAAGATGGCTAAAAAGAAAAGGGAAAAGAAGCTTACTTAATATGACCCTCTCTCTTGCTTCAGAGAAGCTGTTTAATTTTGTTTTACAACCACACAACAGGCTGACGGTATTGAGAGAAATGGCCAGGCATGGCGGAAGGCTTCACAGTGTCCAATAGGCTTCACTTGGCCTCCTCCTAGCTATAGGACCTTGTACAGTCATTAACTTTACTCAACTCCTTCATCTGTAAAATGGGGACAGTAATAACTTCATCACTGTGCTGTGAGAATCAAATTGAGGAAATATTTTTGATAAAGTACCATAAATATAAAAGCTCTTCTTGATTTAAACTGTAAAAAGGAAAAGCACCACTTGATTAAGTGTTTGTCTTAGTTGTCCTTTTTATATGGAATATTTATAAGCATCTCTTCATATATTTGATTAAATTTTCTAGAAGCATTATCTTTTTTAAGTAGAAAAATATTAAAGCTTCAAAAGAGTTCAACTGAATAAAACAGTTCTAAAGTAGGCCAAACTTTTCTCAAAGCCTGAAAAATGTTCATTGTTAAAAATCTGTGAAGAAGGAAATTTGTTAAGATGAATCAGAAGCCTTAAAATAGTTATCCATAAATCGTACATCTGGGAATTTATCCTAGAGTATAATTCAAGATTATACTTTAATATAATACTACATATTATTAGTATGTATTAATAGTATGTACTACATATTATTAATACTGTAGCACATACTACAGTATTATTAGCCATATTATTTATGATATTGAAAATATTAGAATGTTGAAATATCCAACAATAGCAAATGAGTAAATTATGATATAACTGATCAGTGGGCTACCATTTAATCATTTCAAATTATGTTCTTCAAGAATATTTGAAACTCTATAGACATATGTTAGGGTGTTAAGTGAATAAGACAAGACATGAAAATTATATACTGTGATCTGAGTTTTATTTATTATATATGTAGAACACACAGAAACATCTACATGGCACCCACACACCATGGCTAAGTTAAATAATCATTGTATGTATCTACATGTTTAGGAAAGGCTGGAAGGAGACACATTAGAATATTAAGTGTGATTACTTCTGGATGGGATGATGGGTGCTTTTCCTGGAATTTTTCAAATCTCCCATAGAAATGATACATTTGGAAATATATCTTTTAAGATTACATATTTTTAAAAGCTACTCTGCCTGTATAATTTTTAAATGCTGTAAGTCTTCTATCACCACCAATGTATTTCATTTTAGCAATGGTCTGGTGAGTACATTTCTGATGCTAGGAACTATACTAATGTGAAAATTAATATTATTGGCAAGACTTCCCAGTTTTCAATATTTCTTCCCATCTAGATGGATCTTTAGGCAAAATAAATTCCTTTTGATTAAAGGTCTGGGATTCTTAATCCATTTTCAGGCTGTTTTAATGCAGCTATATTAAAGTTTTTGGTTAGACCATCAGTGATCTTAATAACTTTAATGTTAATTCTGTGAAAATCTCATTCTTGCTTAAGTTTGCCATGAGATCGTATCTAAATAGCATACCAGTTATTGTTTACTGTCAGTTAACATAACTTTTGTTATCCTTACGGGACTGGGGTTGCCTGTCAGCATTAGGAGGAGAATGGTTCATGCACCCTAATAATCATTTTAGGTTATTAGGTGGTCAAGGAAGCATTTACCTCTGAAGATTTATATAGGAATTAGGATGATTGGACTTAATCTCACATTTCTTTCTTTCTCAAGAATTACAGAAAAGCTATTTCATGTAGTTTGATATTTTATCCTGCTTTTTTGTAGAATGGAAGATGGTGAACACCAAGTTAAAATGAAGGCTTTCAGGTACATTGACTTGTTGAGACGGTACATGGTGGGTGGAAAGGTAGACAAAGGCAAGCCTGTAGCCTAAGGCAAAGGTGATGCCAAGATAGAAGGGCTTGAAGACGAGGCTTTTCTCTCTTGATATGTTCTGAGAAGCAGTGTTATCAGACACCTGTTGTCTTGCTTTTCTGTCTATTTGGATAACATTTTGGCTTTCATCCCTTTAACTTTCTCTTAGAATAGCTTTTTCTTTTTCTTTCTTTTTTTTTTTTTTTTGAGAAAAAAACTGTTACTTTCTTTAGCACTAAAGAAAAATTGATTTATGATTTAAACAAATCAGAGTTACTTATGAGGAGCATCTGACTGTTAGAAACCCATCCTCATAAGTTCTTTGTCAATTATTTCAACATATTTTTCAACAAAAACAAAAAAATATTTTTCTACATCTGGCAACATGGCCTATCGGAGTTTTGCCTTTTCTCCATTTATTTTGTTTCCTGAAAGGATTCTACAAAATGCTGCCGTGGTTCAAAGCAGCAGTAACTGTACACTGAATTAGGAGCCAGAGCTCTGATGAATTATTAAGCAGAGAGCTAGCCTCTGGATAAATATGCCTTTCCTTAAAGAAAGCCTCCAGAAACCTTTTCTGGTGCAGCTCTTTCAAGTAAAGTACCGTATTCAGACATGGGTTCTTTCACCTTGCCCTGGGTTTCCTGGCTCCCAGCATCATCATTCACCTTCTCCACTAGTGGGCTTTCTCCCACCCTGCTCTCATCTCTCTCCAGATCCAGACTCAGAGAGAGTACTCCTTCCTCTGCTAGATATCCTGGAGTCAGGCTCCTCTATCCATCACTGCTGTCCAGGCTGACGGGAAACATTGTTAGAAAGAAGATGTGATCCTTCTAGTGAGAGTGTAACTATGATATTCTTTTAATTGTAACATTTTAATTTTAATCAAATTGCTCTGTAATCCCAGCTCCCTGGAAGGCAGAGGCAGGAGGATCACTTGAACCCAGGAGCTTGAGGCTGCAGTGAGCTATGATCATCCAACTGCACTGCAGCCTGGATGACGGAGTGAGACCCGGTCTCTAAAAAGAAGAAAAACATCTAATTGCTCACAAATAGGACAAAGTATGAGTAGATAACTGAATTTTATGTGAATACACATATAATCTGAATCCTATCCATCTCACCCAACAGTATGTGTTTTGCTCCAGAAGTATCATTGCCAAGGGTGAATGGTTGGGGCAGGGAGCGTGTTAGCTCCCACAGTCTTCATCAGTGTTCCTCCCTACCCACCTCCTTACTTTTTCATCTGGAAAAATTATATTTTCTTTTATCCTATTTAAAGTCTTTGTAAAAACAGAATAAGGCAGTCTCCCATTTACCCTCTTTCCTGTCAGATTGCCCCGTAAACTATTCTTAAAGAGAAATTCTGGAGTTGCTTTGTGTTGTGGGAGAGGGATTTACAGCAAAGTGTGAGAAGTAAAATCGTGTAATTCTTGAATCTAAGATACACTTATCCCCTCTACATTTAATCTTCTGTGGAAATTTTTTTATCATCAGTGACATCTTCCTGTCAATTGGCAGCATTTCTTTCCCTTGTGATGCCTTAAATAATAGTACATCTTACAGTTGGTGGCTCTTAGAGTTGATGAAATAATGGTAGTGGTATGAAAGGTGCTGAGGTAGCTTAGAGAGAGCAGTGATTAATCATGCAGTAATCACAGAAAGCTTCCCAGAAGAATAACAGAGCTCGGTTTTGAAGAAAGAACAGGATTTCTCCAACAATGCAGTTGGAAAGGACTTCGTAAGTCTGATAAAGAGCAAGGTGTGGAGGAGATGCGAGAGAGCATGGCGTGTGTGAGGATGAGCACGTCTTGTGGCGCTGCTGCTGTGTACCATTTAGAGCTGCTGGGAAAAGTCTGGAAGAGAGAAACTGGAGTTGAAGACCTGAGGCCGGTCAGGGAGAACCTTGGCATGTAACTAGGGAATCTGGCTAGTCGTCTTGGGCAGTGGAAATGCAGTGAACGGTTTTATGCGATGGGATTGGGTGACTTAATGAGTTTTGTTAGGTAATTCCAGAAGTCATAGGATAGACTGGGAGAGGAAGGAACATCAGTTTAAAAGATTTTAGGGTAATGCAATGAGCCTAAATTAAGGTGGTGACAGAGGAGATGGAGAGGAAGAAAAGACATATTTAAGAAATATTTTAAGATCTAGAATCTACAGGAGTTTGTGATTATTTGGCTCTTTAGGGTGAAGAGGAAAGGTTCTAAACAGGAATATCCAACCTTTTGGCTTCCCTGGGCCAAAAGGGAGTTTTTTTGTTTTTTGGTGTTTTTTTTTTGTTTGTTTTTTGAGACAGAGTTTCGCTCTTGTTATCCAGGCTGGAGTGCAATGGCGCGATCTCGGCTCACCGCAACCTCCGCCTCCTGGGTTCAGGCAATTCTTCTGCCTCAGTCTCCTGAGTAGCTGGGATTACAGGCACGCCCCACCATGCCCAGCTAACTTTTTGTATTTTTAGTAGACACGGGGTTTCACCATGTTGACCAGGATGGTCTTGATCTCTTAACCTCGTGATCCGCCCGCCTCGGCCTCCCAAAGTGCTGGGATTACAGGCTTGAGCCACCGCGCCCGGCCTGATTTTTTTTTTTTTTTTGGTCTGATTTTTTTTTTTAGCTCTTTTAGCTATTGTTTCTGTTCACACACACACACACAAAACAACTCACAATCTTTTTAGAAAGTTTATGAACTTGTGTTGGGCCATATTCAAAGCCATCCTGGAGCACGGTTTGGACAAGCTGGGTCTAGACTGAGTCTAGTTGTGTTACCAACCAAGATAAACCCTCTAGAAGGAAGAATAAATCAGGAGTAGTGCAGGAGGAATTAAAAATGGGGTCGATTGCAGAGAATACATTCAGTTTGGGGTTTCTTGAGTTTTAGATGTCCTGAGAATTATTTAGGTTTATCATTCTAGTTTCAAAGGTCAGGAATTGAGTGAAGTATGAATGAGGTAGGGTTATAAGAGCAAGTAAGTAGCTTATGAGTAGCTGTAAAGCCTTGTGAAGGAATGAGATCTCAGGGTGAATAGTGAGTAAGGACAGCAGCCCTGAGCAGGGAATCGTAGTGCACGCCAATATTTAGGGGTTAAGTAAGAGCTGGGGGAAGAGACAAGGGGACTGAGCCAGGCAGGGAGAGTGGAGGAGGATGAGGAGCCAGAGAGGCTGTGGAGACCAGTGGAGAATGAGAAATGTCAGCAGTGTCAGGTTCAAGGCAGGGGTCAGCAAGATTGCAAGAGAGAAGGAGGATGTTTGCTAGGACAGTTTTAGTGGGGCAGGGGTTCTGGAAGGTTGATGTTATAGATGGACAGAATGCCCGAGAAATGAAAAACTGAGTGGAAACTGCACTCTTTCAGGGAGGTTGCTGAGGGGGAAGATGGTAGCAAGAACAAAAAACTAGTAGAATTAGGAAAAGGGTTTTTTTCAAGGAGATGAGACTTAAGCACATTTATAGACCCATGATAAGGAACTGTGAAAATAATGAGGTTAAGATGCTGACGAATATTTATGCAAATACCAGAGAATAGTTCGTTTTGAACAGAAGGGCACCCATCTCTTCCTCTAACATTGGAGACAGGTAGAAAACCCCCCTGGGCTCCCCAACAGATGTCTTTGTTCTTAAGGATTTTGGAAAATGAGGTAGGAAGGGACTGACCAAGGGCAGCGAGTTTTATGAATGCTGTTCCTGGTGTCAGCAGCACTTTCCTCTTCCCTCAGTGGCACCTGCAGGGCCCAGGTTAGGAGGAAGAACAGTGTGTGCCTGCTGGGCTCAGCCTGTGCTCCAGTGACACCACAGTGTGACTAGGGGTATGCTAAATGGTAAATATAAAGGAAGTTCTTTTTCCCTCTTAGAGAAGCTCACAGCCAAACCGAAAAGCGGAGGAGAGATAAAATGAATAACCTGATTGAAGAACTGTCTGCAATGATCCCTCAGTGCAACCCCATGGCGCGTAAACTGGACAAACTTACAGTTTTAAGAATGGCTGTTCAACACTTGAGATCTTTGAAAGGTGAGTTTGACGACGGCTGCCACACTTAGAGATGTGAAATCTCCTCTGTCAGTGAGGTCTCTGATTAGTTCGCTTTGCTGTCAGCTGTTGAGGTTCTATCCGGATGTGTCTTTCAGCTTTACAGGCATTCACTGGTGTTTGTCTGTAGTCTATATGTGGAAGGGATACTGAATTGGATGTCAGAAAACTTGGTTCTGATAAAAGCTTTATATCGAACTCACTATGCAACCTTGAAGAGTCTTTGCATTTCTGCTTCATGTATAATATGAAGTCTTTGCATTTCTGCCTTTCATAATTCTCAGTTCTTTAAAAGTTCTGAAGTAGAGCTGGGCATGGTGGCTTATGCTTGTAATCCCAGTACTTTGGGAGGCTGAGGCGAATGAATTGCTTGAGTCCAGACTTCAACACCAGCCTGGGCAAAAAATACGAAGATTAGCCAAGCATGGTCATGCATGCCTGGAGTCCCAGCTACCTGGGAGGCTGAGGTGGGAGGATGGCTTGAGCCTGGGAGGTGAAGGTTGGAGTGAGCAGTAATCATGCTACTGCACTCCCGCTTAGGTGACAGCCTGTCTCAAAAAGGAAAAAATATGTTCTGAAGTATAGTAGTAATTACTAAGTTACTGGGAGATTTCTATCCTTCAAAAAGAAAACTTCCTTAAATTCTGCAGTTTCTCTGAAAGCTTCATTAGATTTATGAGTAGTACCTTACGATGCCTCACACGTTGCCATTCCAAAGTATCCTTACATACGTGAGACGCTGGGAGAAGGAGCTCCTTGCCACTGCCTCTTGGTATGTGGGTCATCATTTCTGGCTTTAGCAGTTCCCCAGCTTGAGCTTGAATTTTAAATCAAAGTGTAATAAATGTGTTTGTGTACATGTGTCTTAGTGCATTCTTGCATTGCTGTGAAGGAATACCTGAGATTGGGTAATTTATAAAGAAAAGAAGTTTAATTGGCTCACGGTTCCATAGGCTGCATAGGAAGCATGGTGGCTCCTGCTTCCGGGGAGGCCTCAGGGAGCTTTGACTCATGGTGGAAGGCAAAACGGGAGCAGGTGTCTTACATGGCAGGAGCAGGACCAAGAGAGGGTGGGGGAGGGACCACACGCTTTAAACAACCACGTCTCATGAGAACTCACTGTTGCGACACAGCACCAAGGGGAAAACCCACCAGTGTGATCCAGTCACCTCCCGCCAGGCCCCAGCTCCAGTCGATTAGTATTCGACATGAGAGTTGGCCAGGGACACAAAGCCAAACCATGGCAAAATGTGCAGTAGAAATCACACCTGGTCTGGGAATAACCCCAGTCCAACCTGGGGGACAGGAAGTGGAATCGTTTTCGATTTACCAATACTGATGATGTAAATTTCCACTAAGAAGATAAGACCTGGCCAAGTAGCAAGCTGAAGACTCCAGAGGAGACTCTGAAAGTTCAGATTTGTAAAGATCTAGAAGATTATATTGAAATTTGGCTCAAAAAGCATAAAAAGCGAGTGAGCAAAGGATGACCAAGGGTCTTAGTTTAGATCTCAGACACTGCCAGGAAAAAGGAAATCTATTTCAGGGTAATGGAAATTATCTGGGCACAATACAAGGACTTTACAAAATCAGGTTAGGGTGGCTAAGACGAGAACAGCATTAATCTGGACTCCTGGTGTGTCCTGTTGGGAGCATGATGGGAGATCTTATTTTCATAACAGTCTGTTGTGAAATAAGCTTCTCTTTTACCCACAGCCAAGACTTGCAATATTTTCCTTAAATCCTTCAGCAATGAAAATTTACAGGCTCAACTGAGGTAATTTGATTGCAACCCTAAAATTAGCTGAGTATTTTCATATTAACAGTGTCCTAAGGGAGGAGGATCTAAGGGAAAAGCCATGAATCAGTTGACTAGTTCAACAAAACATGATCTGCACATCAACTGCCTTCCCATTCTGTGCTCAGAATATAAAAATTCATGAGGCAAGGTCTCTGCCCTCCAAGGGTTCATGGACTGACTAGGAGGAAGAGATCATCAGAGTCTAATGTGATGAATGTTACAGCAGTGGTATGACTGAGAGAAGCTCAGCAGGGAGGAGGCACTGTCTGAGTCCAGAGGAGATTCCTTGAAACAGGGTGTAGATTTTTGCCGTCGGCTCTGCTAAGCAGAAGTGACATGGTTAAGTACTCATCCCCGCAGTCTGACCAGATATTTTGGTCAGTGCTGTTCACAAGCACTGCTCACACGCACTTAAGGCAACTGGATCTGCATTCCAGGGTATTGTCACAATATCTCCACACTTGCTTGGCAAAAGCTTAGAAGCCGGATCAACAGAGGGCTGCCTGTGGATCATGTTATTTTGGTCCACAGCATAATTAGGTTAAAGGCAGAAGGATGGTGAAGGGATTTTTTTTCACTACACTCTACACCAGTGCTTTTAAAATTATCTGGATGAAGAACAGGTGTTCCTCCCATCCACCCCCAGTTCATTGTAAAATACAATTAATTGTGAAGAAACAATCATGGGCTTGGCTGTCACAGCAATATTACATTTTTATAAAAGCCTCTAAATGCTTACTCTTAAATTCTGCACTTGACCTCAGCACAGTTTGCTGATGGCATTAGTCTGCAGACCACATCTGGAGTAGCCCTGTTCCACAGCATGAGGCCCTGTGTCTGCAATCTGATGACCAGGCGGCTCAGGGGAGTGGTTCACATCTGTGCATCCTGAAGGCAGACCTTGCGGTTCAAATCCTGGCTTCCTCCCATTATAGCTATGTGACTTACTCAAGTCATTTGACATTCTAATCCTGTTTCTGCATCTGTGAAATAGGGATGAGACATTTGCCTCCTGGGCTGTAGAGTATAGCACAGTGTTCACTAATGGTGGGGGTGGGGTAAGAAGAGGAGGACGAGTTGTTACTGTCATTTTGATTTTTTTTTTTTAACCCAGTGAACATTGTGGAAAAAGTAAGCGATCATGTTGCCTCGTTGGTTTTTGCCCCGGGAATTTTGAGAGCCAATGTGTGGGCAAGTGTGTGGCCACCACAGCATGCATTTATGGGCTGGCCTCTGCCATGCCTTAGTGCCGCTCTCACTGCCCTCATTTTCTCCTAAGCACATCCCCACTCACTCACTGAGTCAGGGCTGGCCTGTGCTGGCTGATTTACACCCACAGGGTTTCCCAGCTCACTTCTGCCTGGTGTACGTTGCCAACCTTGCTGCAGGCCAGACCTGAAATGTCATTACCTTGCTCAGAATAGATTTATTGCTGTTCCCTGGCCTAGCACTCAGAGTCTGCACCCTTCATTCCTTCCTCAGCTCCCTTCCTCAGCTCCCTCCAGGCTGCTGTGTAGGAATATTAACAAGAAGTCATTGTGAGAATTCCTCAAGCCCTAGGATGAAGGTAGATTTCAACAGAAGAGATGTTCCTTTGCCTATGCCAGGCTCTTAAGAGTGCTAGGAGCCTGAGAAAACTGTACTGAATCATAGCATGAGGCATTTTGACTTTCTGCCCCTCCCACTCACCTTGCCACCACCACTGCTTAGTTCTTTGGTGAGTTTGGCCCATAGATGCATCCAAGGACCAGTGCGTGGTTAAAATGTGTAAGGATGTTATCTCACCTTTCTCTTGCAAAAGCAACTTTTCTTACAGTCCCCAGGAAGATTGGATAGCAGTCAGGAAGGTTGGGGAATATAAGGAAGGGAAAATTGACTTGCTTCTGAATCACCCTTGCCCTGGGGACAGCTTTCTTGGCTTTGTGGGCAGTGTCATACGCCCCCTTATGGCCATAAAGGGCTTTGCATGTCTGGGTTGGTAGATGCCCTCATGACACAGACGGTTTTGGTGCTTCCCTTACTCTTCTCAGATCAAACATTTCCCTTGGTTTTGACCTGATAGTTCTAAATCATTTTGCAAGCTCTTCAGCTGCTTTAGAGACTCTCATTTTAATTTAATAACTCTGTGCTAAGGGCTGAAAATGAATTATTTCATTGATATTTTATGCATGTTTTTTAATAATCTGTGTATTTTCAAAACAGAGGTCTCCATATTGACCTTAAAGGGTTTTTTTTTTAACTGGAAACTCTCATGAATTCATAACATTTGTTTAGAATTCCAGAATATCACCAGTCAGGGTAATTTATATGATCAGTTTTAATTAACTAAGAAATTATCTAAATAACTATAGTAATCCCCCCTTATCCATGGGTCATATGTTCCAAGACCCTGGTGGATGCCTGAAACTGTGGGAAGTATTGAATCCTAGGCATAGGACATTTTTTCCTATGCATATATACCTATTATAAAGTTTAACTTATAAATCAGGCACAGGAAGAGATTAACAACAATAATAAACTAGGACAATTATAACCGTATACTGTAATAAAGTTACGTGGTATCTCTGGCTCTCTCAAAATATTGTATTGTGCTCACCTGTTTGCAGACCATGGTAGACCACAGGCAACTGAAACCACAGGTAAGGGGGGACTACTACATATTGATTCTTGAATATTATTTCATGTACATTTTATTATACTGTTTTTATATATAGCTCTTAGTGTGGATATTTGAGTATAAACGAATAAGTAGTTCTAATAATTCACAATCTAAAAGAAAGAAATTTTAATCAAGTGATAATGAAGAAAAAAATGATTATTTGGGATTAGTGGCTCACACCTATAATCCCAGCACTTTTGGAGGCTGAAGTGAGTGGATGGCTTGAGGTCAGGAGTTCAAGACCAGCCTGGCCAACATGGTGAAAACCTGTCTCTACTAAAAATACAAAAATTAGCCGGGCGTGGTGGCACACACCTGTAATCCCAGCTACGCAGGAGGCTGAGGCACAAGAATTGCTTGATCTCAGGAGATGGAGGTTGCAGTGAGCTGAGATTGCATCGAGGTACTCCAGCCTAGGCAACCAAGTGAGACTCCGTCTCAAACTAACTAACTAAATAAATAAAATTAAAATTAAAAAAAGAAAATGATTACAAAAAAAGTCTTAGAATGTGCCAAAAGAGAAAATACCAACAGGAGCAGCAGCATTGCTAATACTCACTGAGCACTTACTATGTTGCCCTCTATACTATATTTCCAATAACTCTTGCTTCCTTTCTTTTTAGGCATGACAAATTCTTGTATGGGAAATAATTATAGACCATCATTTATTCAAGATAATGAGCTCAGACATTTAATCCTTAAGGTAACTAACGACATATTTGCCTAAGTTGTATATGTCTTTTCATTGCTGTTTGAATAGAAGGCAGATTTTCTTCCATTTGCTTCCTGTTACAAACCTCCTGGACTCCATATTATACCATATTTCCTTTAACATAGAAATTCAAAATAGAGAAGTAGCCATGTCTTACTAGTTTGTGTTAACGAAAGTAGAGACAGAGGATAGGCACTTTCCACACTAGGGAACAAAACTTGTCTTCCGCACTAAGCATTTTATACTACCCACCTCTCACACACAGGATGTATTCGCCATGATCACCACCTCCTCCAAAGCCGTCTGCCTGGCATCCTGTTCCCTCAGGATCCCGGACTCCTCAGAGGCCAGTCACTGCTTACTGAGATTTGTTAGTCAGGGCTTTGACATTTCTGTCCTCACCACTTCCTGGGCATGGCTTTTCGGATTCACCAGTCTAGAGGTTCATTTGACATGGAAACTATGATCATGTGATTGGCTTCTCATGCTCTCAGAGGTGATAAACGTCCTGGTCATGTGCTGTGTGGCTGCTAGGTTTTAAGCCCTAGTAGAATTAAATAGAAAGATTCTTCATACACGTTTTTGTCCATTTTTCCTTTAATTAAAAATGCCACTCTTTTATTTGAAGAGCTGGATTTAAATATAGCATTTATGGCAAGGACACAAAGGATATTGTGTGGATAAAAAAGATTTTTGAAGGTGGCTAAATATACGGTTTGCTTTTGAAGCTTTCTCACCAATCTGTCCATGCTTGTCAGTCATACCTTCATGGAACTCTGGTTCTGCCCTGCAGAGCATGCCGAGCAGGAGTGCCAGACCCATCCTATGTGGCCATACATACCCACTTCCATGGAGGCTGCTTCATGGGATTTGCTGGGTAGACCTTATGAGGGTAGCTAACACATTTGAATTTTTAAAATTTACTTTAGAATCGGTGATGCCTTATTATCATTCAGAAATGATAACAAGGTATACAGTATGATGTCTTCATTGCTTCCTTGTCCCCAATCTGTACAGTCCTCCCTCAACACATCCATGGGCAATCGTTATTCTGCATACAGTATAGTAGAATTGGTAAATATAATTTTATTATTATTATTATTTGAGACAAGGTCTGGCTATGTTGCCTAGGCTGGAATGCAGTGCTGCAATCTTGGCTCACTGCAATCTCCACCTCCCTGCAATCTCCACCTCCCAGGCTCAAGCCATCCTCCCATCTCAGCCTCATGAGTAGCTGGGACTACAGGTGTGCACCACCAAGCCCAGCCAATTTTTGTATTTTTTGTAGAGACAGAGTTTCACCAGTGTTGCCCAGGCTGGTCTCAAACTCGTGAGTTCAACAGATCTGCCTGCCTTGGTACCCCAAAATGTTGGGATAGAGGCTTATTTTAGTACTGTGTGTAGGCTCATGTACAACACCTGGCCTAATTTTAGGTTTTAAGAAATGTCTCAACTAAATATTCTGCAGCTGAACTTTTCATCTCCAACACATTAATTTAGAATGGGATTTCAACTTGACATTCTTTACAAATCTGTTTGTACCTTAAGAACATTTCTTAAAGTTAATTTTATTAGCTCCAGGACTACTACTTTGTTAGTTTTATTGCCATAATAATTTCCTCAGAATCTGAATGTGTGTGTGTGTGTGTGTGTGTGTGTGTGTGTGTATGTGTGTGTGTATGAGAGACAGACAATATTTTAAAATACTCTTTTTTTTTTAAATCCTAGACTGCAGAAGGCTTCCTATTTGTGGTTGGATGTGAAAGAGGAAAAATTCTCTTCGTTTCTAAGTCAGTCTCCAAAATACTTAATTACGATCAGGTATCCAAAACTGAGGTTATTTTCCACACAATGTTTAATTTTTTGAACAAACACATATTTTTAAGCTCTTTTTCTGAATGCCTTCTCCACACTGGGATATGGGATTAGGATCTGCTAAGTTAGAACTCCAAGAGAGATGGAAAGATATATGGAAAGAGTAAGGATTTTTGTTACTGACATTTGTGTTCCCTTTCTGACCTTCAGCAAGTTACTTAATATTACTGAGCCTCAACTTTTTCCTATGTAAAAAGTCAAAATGATCGTATCTGTCTCTCAAGATATAAAGACTAAATGAAGTATCATATGTAAAAGTGTGTGAAGTGTTAGTCACCTTTCTCTGTTCCCTCCAAGAGACACTTATTAGATTATTACTAAGTCACATGCATTGCATGGCAGCCTTTGATCTAATCTATGTCAACACTCTCTGAAATACATCTTTCTCATTTAACTAGTTTAGTAGTTACTTTACCTCCTTATTCCTAAACACCATTTAATGGAAACTAGCAACTCAAAAATTATAGCATTGAAACTAACCCAGGTGAGTGAATAAACTAGCATTAGAAATCAGATAAATCACAGCTTTGATTTTTAATAACTCCCATTAGTTTGTAAGATGTTCAGAGATAATTAGTTAATTAACAGAAGTAAGAAAATATTATGAGCCTATGTACAGGAGGATTGAAAACCGATGAATCATGCAGCCGGTTATAGCTGGGGACACAAACCTCATGATTCCATGTTCTAATTGGAGATGGAACACACACACACACACACACACACACACACATACACACACACACACGCATAACTCACAATTTAGGATAGCATTTAAGTTTCAAGTTAGTGACATGGAATCCAGTGCTACTGGACACTGACTTTGCATTTAAGAGGCCATTAAGAGACTTATTGGCTGCTCAGTGGCATACAAAGATTCCCATGATTCAGAGTTTGGTCCTCAACTTTTCAGATTCAGAAACTTGATCTGCCTTAGAGAGTTCTGGATATAGACTTACATTAACCACACAGTATGTTTTAGAATGAAATATCTCACTGCCAGACAATTCAGCCTACTTGTATCGGCTGGTCAGTCTTGCTGTTTATAAGATTGTTTGCTTGGGTAATACAGGAATTCAGAAGAGAGGTGGCCACTGTGGGTCAGGGAATGCTTCACACATGAGGTAGGATGTCTGCCAGGCTTGTCAGAAGCAAGATGTAGAGAAGGCGAGGAAACATTTCAGACTGGGAGAAGGAAGTCTTGGAACCCTAGGGAATCAAAGGCAATTTGGCTGGAGTGGCCAGGGTATAGGGAAGGGGTAGTGAATTCTAAGTGATGGGACTGTATCAGCAAAGGCATAGACCTGGGGATGCTGTGCATATTGGTAGTGGTGGAATGGGAAGTGAGACGTATTCTGGGTTGGATTTTACTTATCAATAATATGGTAATTTTTAAAACAGTATGGTAAATGTCTGATAAAGCCATAGATATTCTGTGATTTCCATATTATACTATGTTGTAATCTCTCTCCTTTTAACAAGGACAAAAAAGTTCAAAATAAATCACAATCATTTAGAAGTAACATGTTTTAACAAGCGTTACAAGATTTAGCAGAATACTAGCAACTAGTGTTTGTATATGGTTTGTGTATATCCAGGTATGGTTCTATGTGCATGTATTTTTTTCTGTCTACAAGTATCACCCTGCTTTGAACACTAAGTTAATGCCACATAGTGTTGTGGACATATCTTCGAGCTTGAGAAAAATCAACCTTTAACAAAAAAAGGACATTTATTGTATGCACCAAAAAATGGAGAAAAATCATGGTACTGATTTTAAATGAATGTCTACCTTATAAATAGGCTAGTTTGACTGGACAAAGCTTATTTGACTTCTTACATCCAAAAGATGTTGCCAAAGTAAAGGAACAACTTTCTTCTTTTGATATTTCACCAGGAGAAAAGCTAATAGATGCCAAAAGTAAGTGTCCATTTCTGTATGCTTATCTTTTTATGTAAATGTAATGATCACCTAAAAGTTTAGCTATACAATATTTTTTAAATGGCTAACTAAGCTTTTATCAAAAGGAGATTTATTTTGTAAACTTTACATCATAGTTAATAAATTTATATAGCTATATAGAAAATTCCTATATTTATGCAGACATATACAAACACAAATGCATTCATAGGAAGATGATTTGTTTGGGGAAAATATGATTGCTTCCAATTTGCTATTTTTCATATGCAAATAAATCTTTATAAGAAAGTATCATTTTGGATAAAAATTGCTAAAGTTCCTGTTATTTAGCTATATGCTAGAAGACAATTATTCTATTCTTTATATAGATTACATCTTTTCTGCATGAAAGACTTGTATAATTGTGTTTGGGAAGCGTAAGCATTTTTTTTCTTCTCTGAAAATGCCTAGTACCAAATAATTGTGTGAAATATAAAACAACGATGTACTGTGCCATTGATTCCTGTAATAGTTGAGGGTTTTTTTTTCATTTTTAATTTAATTTTTATTTCATTTTACTTAAATTAACTTTGTTCTTCCCTGCTTGGGGAAAAAGAAAGATAAATTGCAAATGTCTGTAAGTTATCAAAATGTGATTGCTTGTCAAATAACATTTTTTGGGTTTGTTTCACTTCAGGGTTTACTGTATAATCATGCCATTACTTTAAAAAATGATTTCCTTTCTCAGTAATAGATAATCTGAAAATGTTAGGAATATAAATTTCAAAATTATTTGTCCATATTCTTTTCCACCTATTCTCTCGCCCTCTTCTGCTACAAAAGCTGGTTTGCAAGTTCACAGTAATTTCCACACTGGAAGGACACGTGTGTATTCTGGCTCAAGACGGTCTTTTTTCTGTCGGATAAAGAGTTGTAAAATCTCTGTCAAAGAAGAGCATGAATGCTTACCCAACTCAAAGAAGAAAGGTATCATTTTGAAATGTCAAGTGATGTAAAGCATACATAGATATAAAATTAATGTCCTAAATATTTTCTGTACAGAAAAAAAATAAAATGTATGATCAAGGGAAATATTTGAATCCAAAAGTACCTTTAAAATAAGATTTTTTAAAACCAAAATTACTTAGATTGGTTCACTGTATCTTTTACATTTATCAGGTAATTACATATTTTCTTTGTTGTCCAAGATTTTAATGGCTTATTGAAATTGTAGTTTGGGCTGTATCAAATGGAAAAAAAATGACAAGAGATGGAAATGAAACTTTTGCTATGAAACTTCATTATTACTTTTTAAAATACAAAAGTTAGATTTAAAAAAAATCTTCATAGTACAAGAGCCTGATTTTACTAATTTTGGTGAAAGTTTCTTAAAATGTTCCAGGTGTTATTTTAATTTTTTATTAGATGGTGATTCTTTGGTAAATACCTCATTTGCTTTCTTACAATCCTTTGCTAGATTTTTCTTGCAGATGTTTACTTTTTGAGTTGATCAAATAGTCATCTATTTAACTTAATTGGGAAATTTCAGGGACTACAAAATATCTCATGACTTTTTTGCCTAAGAGCATATTAAGCTATTAGATATGCAATTCCATAGGCAAATTTCAACATGGGATTTGCTTTCCTATTCTTTAAAAGGATGTTTATATGAAGCTGCAAAATCCAATTTATTTACAAGTTTTGGTCAGAATCTTTATTGACAAACACCTAAAATGATCATTGCTAATACCCATTTGCTAAACACCCTGTGCCAGATACTCTAAGTGTTTTAATCCTTTTGGAAACACTGTTCTTTTTTTAAAATTTCCATATTTATTTTAGATACAGGGACTACACGTGCAGGTTTGTTGCATGGGTATATTGCACTAAGGTAGCGAGCGTAGTACCCAGTAGGTAGTTTTTCAATCCACACTCCCTTCCCTCCCTTCCCGCTGTAATAGCCACAGTGTCTGTTGTTCCCACGTTTATGTCCTTATGTGCTCAATGTTTAGCTCCTACTTATAAGAGAGAACATGTGGTATTTGATTTCTGTTCTTGCATTAATTTGCTTAGGATTATGGCCTCCAGCTCTATCCATGTTGCTGCAAAGGACATGATTTCATTCTTTTTCATAACTGCAAAGTATTCCATGTTGTATATGTACCTCACTTTCTTTATCTAATCCACCATGGGATGGAGACCTAGGCGGATTTCATGTATTTGCTCTTGTGAACAGTGCTGCAGTGAACATACAGTCCCTATGTCTTTTTGGTAGAATGATCTGTTTTCCTTTGAGTGTATACCCAGTAATGAGACTCCTGAGTCAAATGGTAGCTCTGTTTTAAGTTCTTTGACAAACTCCCAAACTGCTTTCCACAGTGTCTGAACTAATTTACATTGCCACTGGAAATGTAAATTAAGCAGAAAATACTTTTCTTTTCTTTCTTTCTTTCTTTCTTTTTTTTTTTTTTTTTTTTTTTTGACATGGAGTTTTGCTCTTGTTTCCCAGGCTGGAGTGCATTGGTGTGATCTTGGCTCACTGCAACCTATGACTGTCAGGTTCAAGTGATTCTTTTGCCTCAGCCTCCCAAGTTGCTGGGATTACAGGTACCTGCCACCAGGCCCAGCTAATTTTTGTATTTTTAGTAGAGATGGGGTTTCACCCTATTGCCCAGGCTGGTCTCGAACTCCTGATCTCAGGTGATCCACCCGCCTCAGCCTCCTGAAGTGCTGGGATTACAGGTGTGAGCCACCATACCCGGCCCAGAAAATACTTTTCTTATCTCTGTTTTAGGATCAAAGATGAATGACTTGGAGAGATTCAGTAACTTGCAGAAAGTCAAATAGGTAAAATTCACAATCAGTCATAAACCCCCTACTCTGTTACACTGTAAAGAAACAAAAATGAAAATGAACTAGCAGTCCTCAGGGGCATCTGTTTAAGGACCATCAGTTTCTTCCATCTTGCTGGTGGCTCTGAGTGGCGGAGAGCTGTCTAATGTCAAATATGAAGCTTCCTGGGCTTGAAGTCACAGCTGAACTGGAGGTAAAGAGGCTGTGGAATCCAACCAGTGGGGATCAAATTTTAGCTCTACCACAAGCTAGCTGTGTTATCATAAGCAAGTTTCTTAATCCCTCTGAGCTTCAGTTTCCATATCTGTAACATGAGAATATTCAAAAGACTGTGGTTTAGCTGCAGCAGGTAAATGAGTAGATTCTAGAGCCAAACTGTCTAGATTTAAATCCTAATTCTGCTATGTGACTTAAGATAAATTTCTGAATCCTTTGGGGCCTTACTCCCCTCGATTCTAAAATGGGAATAATAGGACTCCACTCAGGGTTGTTATCAGGATTAAATGAGTTAATATACATCATGTGCTTAGCCTGGTTCCCGGCATAGTGACAGCCAATATTAGGAGCTCTTAAAAACACTGTTGGAAATAGTCCACCTAAACTCCCAGGACAGCGTAGAGCAGATGGCAGGTGCCATTATTGTCACTGCCCCAGAGTGCCTGTTCTCTCTGCCTTCCTTCCCACATCAGTCATCTTGGTATTACCATAGGGACCAGCTAGGACGTGGCCATGTAATGTGAAAATAGTCTCTAATGGCAGGAATATTCCTTCTGTGTGGGTGGTCTGAGGAGTCATACTGTAGCATGTTTTACTCTTAGGCTTTAACCAGAGGTGAACCAACACCATGTTGGTTCACCTCTAGGGTTCACCTCTAATTAATCTGTCCATAAGTGTCCAATCATGTGTAAATCACCAAATCTACACAGAAATCTGTATGAGCGAAAAACATGACAGCCCGTGCAACCACTGTAAGGTGGCTGAAATCTGTCATGTTTGTTCCAAGTTATAAATTGATTAGAGGCTAGAGTGGTCAAATTTTGTTAAGTGTTTTAAAGATTACCAGATTGAATTGTCTTTTCTTCTGGGAGATTTTCCACATGGACTGACTTAGTATATTAGTCATGTTTGTGTTGGTGTCTGATTGGTGCCCATTGTAACCCTCTACTTCTGTGAAACCTGATTTTGCCGTCTGCTCCCTACCCCATCATCTTGCTCTTTTCTGCTAAAGCTTGCACCTCTACAGGCTTGATTTTCAGCCTCTGCATTTTCTCACCTCTTCCCTAATCTAATTCTTCCTGCCACTTTTCCCGATTTCATTCTCTCTTCTGACATAAGTAAACTTACCCAGCCTTCTCAAACCAGTATCCACATGCAAACGATTTATATTCTTGAACTTGAAAATAAATCTATCCAGGCTAAGCTTCTACTCAGAAACCTGTTGGCAAAACCTCATTCTCCTGTGGCCTGATCCTCCAACGAAATCCACTGTCACCATTTGAACTCCTCCCTGATATTCAGGAGAATTTAGGTGCACTGGAGAAATACATTTTAAGTTACACCTTTAGACCAATGGTTCCCAGGCTTTAGCCTGCACTGGAATCACCTGGAAGGATTTTTAAAACACAGAATCAGTTTGAGGTGGGGGTCCAAGAATGTGCATTTCTAGGAAATTCCCAGGTGTGACTGGTGCTGCTAATCCAGAGAGCCTACTTTCACAGCCACTGCTTTAGACTCTTTTCTCAAGATTCTCAAGGGTGTGAGAAATGGAAAGTAGGGATGCCCTGGACAGCAGTGCTCAATCCTGGGGCTCAAGCTTCCTCCCCGACTTGTATTTTCTTATATCTCCTATCACAGTCTTATTTCTAAAAGAATCCCTGCACATTGGCTGTGCTGAGGGGAAAATGACTGGGATAAACCCGAGATCATTGTCTGACAACAGATGTTAATAAATGAACAGTTCATTGAGTGCCTACTGTGTGCCAGGTACTATACCAAATGCAGAGGACACACTGGGGAACAGGCAGAGAAGTACTGCTCTGGTGCACCTTATGTGAGACAGCCCTTACATAATAGAGACAGCCAAGAAATGTGTAAACTAATAAGTAGGTAGTGTACAGTGTGACGTGAGTGACATCTTTGCTGAATTAATAGTAGTTTTTGAATACTGGAGGATTATTTACTCAGTTTTTTGGTGCTATTCACTCTGTAACAATTACAGACACAACACACTTGTTCAGTGGTGCAGTCATAGCTCACAGCCTCAAACTCCTGGGCTCAAATGATCTTCCTACCCTAGCCTCCCATGTAGCTGAGACTATATAGATATGCATCATCACTCATCCCTCTAAGTTTAAAAATTTTTGTAGAGATAGGGTCCTGCTATGTGGCTCTGGCTGGTCTCAAATCCCTGGCCTCAAGTGTTTCTCCCACTTTAGCCTCCCAGAAGGCTAAGATTACAGGCATGAGCCACTGTGCCTGACTGCAACACACAAATCTGTCCGCAGACCCTGGACATTAAAGCTCAGGCATCCCTTGTTTCCAGGAAACCATCCCTGATTCCCTCACCACTCTGATGGCTTGAGTCCCAGGTACCCACATTTAGTAATCCTGAGCTGCTCTCATATTTGCTGCCCTTCCACACTGTATTGAAATTGCTTAATATTTTTAATACTTGCCTCTCACACTAGAATGAGAGCTGCATTTCTGTCTGTTGTTTCTGGCCCACAGTAGACATTCTATAAACACTTCCTGAAGGTATAAGTGATGATCCTCTTGTCCTTTGTTCCTGGTGACTGACCACATAACCACTCTCAGATCCACAGGAACAGTTATGAATTCAGTGAATGAATATACATTATCGTCTTTCTGTTTTACCTAAGGCAGCATTTTCAACATATTTTTTAGATTTTATCTCAAGAAGTTTTTAGCAAATGGTATGGACTGAATTGTGTCCCCAGAATTCATATGTGAAGTCTTAACCCCTGACGTGATGGTATTTAGAGACTGGGCCTTTGGGAGATAATGAGGTTTCAATGAGGTCATGAGGATGGGGCCCTCATGATGGGATTAGTATTCTTGTATAGAGAGGTGCCAGAGAGCTTTTTGTCTCTCTGCATGAATGCAGTGAGCAAGGG